CTATATCTTGATGTTTTGAAAGTTATGGACTAAAATGATGTATAGTAATTTCAAATTTATTCAAGTCATATATTTAGATTTTTGACCGAGTATGATAAATATATCAATATTGGCCTCTTTGGATAGACAGTAATTAAATACATAATTTGGGCTCGAGAAACAGTCGATTCGAATAAGTCAACTCCAAGATATTTTAATTTGAATGAATTGCCAACAGCTAATTTATTTATTTTTATTTAATTATAATTTTGAATGTAAGTGGAAGATATGCATGTGTATGGAAATGTTTAGCTAATTTATTTGGGGTTGTTTTGGACACGTGTACAAATCCTAGGTTGAATAGACTTGGTCCAACTTTGTTTCAAAGTTTGAGTAAAAACTTTCGTTAGTCACTGAACTTGGAACTTTGTCACGTTGTGGTCACTCAACTTCGTTATGCTGCCCATCCGTCACTGAACTTGTCCACCGTTCCCTCCTTCTCTCACTACCAGTGTCCCGTTTCCTACCTGGCTCGACGGCGTCCTAATTGGCAAGAGACGGCGTCAAATTCATTGCCACGTTGGACGGACGCCTTCAATCCCGTCAATTTGAGGGAGGAATCCCCAATTCGAACTCCCCCATTCCAAATCCCCCATTCAAATCCCACCCAAATCCCTTCGAAAACGAACCATAAATTTCGTTTTGCCCTAAATTTAGATCCCTGCCAACTCCGAAAACGCGACATGAAGCGCCACCACATTCCTCCACAACCGTCAGTCGAGTCCTAAATCAATTTCAAACCGAAATCACCTGAGTGAATAAGAGATTGTCTATTATTGACAGTGGTATTGGGATGACCAAAGCAGGTACTGCATTACGCTACTTTTTTGCGGTTACTGAGTTTTTTTATGTTCTGTATTGGTGGTTTGCTTTTTGAGAATGGTAGGATTTGGATTTTGATATATTTGTGCATGCAATTAAGCTATTGCGTTTTTATAATACATTTTACTCCTTGCATCTTTATTCAAAAAATTTTGGAGGTTTTCTTCTTGCTGCAAATGTTAACATTTCTAGAAATAAGTCAATTCTTGGTTGTGTGAATATCAGTGATGTACATACAAATTGGATTCGATAATTAACAATTGAAGATTGCGTAACTAGGAAAAGGAAAACTTGATTCAAAATGACTTTTCTTAGATCAGCTTTAATAGATCTCATTTAGAGACGGGTGCATTGTTACCTAATGTACATTGCGTTCCTAATTATTCACTGAGTATAATTATAAGCATTGCAAATTTTAATTATAATACTGAGTATAAAACATTGAGGAGTTATGTATCTACGTTAACTTGAAGCGTGAATTCAACCAAACGATCTGGTGGAAGGTAAAGTTGATGAATTCTATCAAGAATTTAAATTTTAATTGACATGTCGAGAATGTGAGACAAAGAAGAGAATCAACTATTTTATGTGTAGAAATTGAGGTTATTATAATGTTGGGATGATAATTTGGCTAACGATGATTTATGGTTTATTCTAGACCGTGTACAGTTGAATACCTGGAGGAGAGGAGAATCAGGGATCTCGTGAAGAAGCACTCAGAGTTCATTAGCTATCCCATTTATCTTTGGACTGAGAAGACAACTGAGAAGGAAATTACCGATGACAAGGATGATGAGCCAAAGAAAGAGGAGGAGGGTGATATCGAGGAGGTTTAATTAGATCGCAGAGAACAAGGAAGACTATAATAAGTTCTATGAAGCTTTCTCCAAGAACTTGAAGTTGGGCATTCATGAGGACAACCAAAACCGGACTAAATTGGCCGACCTACTTAGGTACCATTCAACCAAGAGTGGCGACGAATTGACTAGCCTGAAGGATTATGTGACCATGATGAAGGAGGGGCAAAATGATATCTACTACATTACTGGTGAGAGGAAGAAAGCTGTAGAGAAATCGTGATTGAAGGGAATGTTGCGATTGAAGGGAATTGGACTTCATGGTATATTTTGTGATGTAACCAAACCAGCTATGAATCGATTTTTGGTCATATTTTGTAAGGCAGCTATTATACCATAATGTAAGGAGACGTTATGGCAGATATTTTTGTATGAATTCATCGTACATGGTGTCAGCTGCAACCTGTAGAGCTCCATTACCTTGTTACCAGCACAAAATGATTTGGCATTATTATTAACATAGCAAACTACATAACTAGTGCATAATGCAATGAAAAACGATTACATAATGTCTTGAAGTCTTACAAAATGTGGACACAAAGTTTAAAGTTGGGTGGCCACCCGTGTATTTAACCCTACATAATTTACTNCATGTTCACCGACGATTACAAAAACACGGATTTCGACAACTACAAAAACATATCTTTTGCTCAAGCTAGACTTCAATTCCTAGCCAAGTAATATGGGAGAGAGATATTCTCTACACATATAGGTTGAACTTCAAATGACTGATGTTTGCCGAAGTTCCACAATATCACAAGAAACTTTTGGGAAGATATCCATGACTTGGGTGAAAATGTATGTGCCTTTGTTCGTAAGGCTCTCGATTTCTGATGTCAAATTCTGCCACCAAACTAGAATACACACAAAAGCCAACTCTCAAGGAAACATTTTCATGCTTAGCTTCCAGTAGCAGTTGGCACAACAACCACTTTGCACCTTCAGCCTTCTCATGTTCTTTGTTAAGCATCTGTAAACCCATTTCCAAAATGTCTTAAGTAACAGATTACTAATAATGAACTTTCAGGCAAACTTATGTTGGGACATCACATATAGTAACATAGTTAGCATGGTTAAAATCACAAAACTAAAGTAAAAGAATACCAATCAAAAGTTATATTTATGGTTCTACAATAAAATTCTTCAGCTACAATAAACTTATTTCTACTCATTCTTACCAACTCAACTACAAACATTCAACCACATGAACTTTCTCAAAACATTCAAAAATACAAGTTCAATTTGCACCCAGTAAAATAATGTCTGAAACTTATTTCTACTCATTCTTACCAATTCAACTGCAACCATTCAACCATAGGAAATCTTTCTCAAAACATTCAAAAATACAAGTTAAATGTTCATCTAGTAAAACAATGTCTAAAACTTATTTATATTCATTCTTAACAAAATGTAGAACCATTCACCATTCTTGCAAGTTCTACTAAATTTAGAAACGTTCAAATTCTTCCCTTCCATATCTCAAGCAACATGACTTTGTGCAGCTAGAAATGAGAAATGTAATAGCAAATAACAATTCATTTACAAAGTATCAGTTTGCAGCCTCCCCCATTAATTCACCTGACTTCGTGCAGCCAGAATTGAGAAATGTTTATGTCCATTCAACTGTCATATTCTACAACACACTAAATTGAACTCATTACGGGTTGAAATTTACCTTCATTGGTTGAACAGGTTCGTTCCAGGTGGGGCGATTTCCGTTTGGAATTGACTTAGGGCTCGACTGACGGTTGTGGAGGAATGTGGTGGCGCTTCAGGTCGCGATTTCGGAGTAGGCAGGGATCGAAATTTCTGGTTCGTTTTCGAAGGGATTTGGGTGGGATTTGAATGGGGGATTTGGAATGGGGGAGTTCGAATTGGGGATTCCTCCCTCATATTGAAGGAATTGAAGGCGTCCTTCTAACGTGGCAATGAATTTGACGCCGTCTCTTGCCAATTAGGACGCCGTGTAGCCAGGTAGGAAACGGGATACTGGTAGTGAGGGAAGGAGGGAACGGTGGACAAGTTCAGTGATGGATGGGCAGCATAATGAAGTTGAGTGACCACAAAGTGACAAAGTTCCAAGTTCAGTGACTAATGAAAGTTTTTACTCAATTTAGTTTCAATCACTTTATCCAACTATACCATATTTTGCACGTTCTGTCTACGTGCCAACTTGAAGATCCAGTTTTCATTCCCTATGTATATAATTGCACCATATGATAGAA